GTAGATGATTTTGAAGTTGTGGAGACTACGCTTGGAGTTGATGATTCTGTGGATGGTTGGGCAGTGGTGCTTCCTTCTTCGACAATAACAGTAGTGGAAGGTATGGATGGTGTGGTGGTTGAAAGAGTAGTTTCAGCTTTGAATGGTTTTGTTGTTGAAGAAAGACCCTGAGTGGTAACCTCAGACCCAGTGGATGATTCTACACTCACTGTTGTGTACACAAGGGTAGTCACTGGTACAGCAGTTGTCTTTGTCAGCGTTGCTGGCTGTGTGGATGTAATGACTGGCAATGAAGTTTGTGAAACTGGCAGAGCTGTGCTTGTAGATGTTGATGTTTCAGATGATGTGCCTGTTACCACTTCTAAAGTGGTTGTTGCAGTAGTCGTTGGTTGGCTTGTTAGGCCAGTCGTCTCCACTTTTGGTGGCCTGGTGGTGGTGGGCAAAGGTGTCTGAGCTGTGGTCAATTCATTCTCAGTTACAGTCTCAGTTGTTGTTGGTTGTCCAGTTGTTTGAGTAGCTGTGGAAGATTTTGAAGTTGTGGAGACTATGCTTGGAGTTGATGTTTCTGAAGATGGTTGGGCAGTTGTGCTTCCTTCTTCGACAATAACAGTAGTGGATGGGACGGCTGGTGTGGTGGTTGAAAGAGTAGTTTCAGCTTTGAGTGGTTTTGTTGTTGAAGAAAAACCCTGAGTGGTAACCTCAGACCCGGTGGATAATTCTACACTCACTGTTGTGTACACAAGGGTAGTGACTGGTAAAGCAGTTGTCTTTGTCAGCGTTGTTGGCTGTGTGGATGTAACGACTGGCAATGAAGTTTGTGAAACTGGCAGGGCTGTGCTTGAAGATGTTGATGTTTCAGATGATGTGCCTGTTACCTCTTCTAAAGTGGTTGTTCCTGTAGTCATTGGTTGGCTTGTTAGGCCAGTTGTCTCCACTTTTGGTGGCCTGGTGGTGGTGGAGAAAGGTGTCTGAGCTGTGGTCAATTCATTCTCAGTTACAGTCTCAGTTGTTTTTGGTTGTCCAGTTGTTTGAGTGACTGTAGATGATTTTGAAGTTGTGGAGACTATGCTT